CTATTGCTTGTATACAGATATAAGTAACAACAATATATTGAGACATTGTAGTAGAATATGTTGATGTGTATAATAGAAATACTACTTTAAACTTTCTCTCTGTATAAGTCAATATTTAATGATAATGAAAATTTTGAATGAAATCATTTTTATTTTTGTTCCAATCAATGCGTCACTTTAATTATTTCGGATTAAACTTAGAAACCCACACAAGAGAATGATTCAGGTCTGTTTGTATATACATATCAGTAGTATTTTAAATATATAAGATTCAGGAATTGACAGAATTCCAAAGAAATTAAATGATTTTCCATTCCAATCTGAATTTTGTAAATAGATGAAAGGCTTTTGAATAGAGACAGAACTCAAAAATCAACTGAAAACTAAATTAAATTTCAATGAGAGACAAATAAAAACTAATTAAACGACTGGAAACAACGAATTTTGTGCGCAATATCCAACCAATGAAGATTTTCCGATATGCGATATTCGGGCTTAAGTTCGATTTAGCATTTGCCAGCATTGTAAACTGCTTTTATGACGCACCATCGAAAGTGAGCGGTTGCGAAGGCCCTACAAAAATAGACCGCGCCTATCAGAGTGGAGTGGAGTGGAGTGGAGTGGAGCACTACGTCAAGTGCAAATCTATTGAAATATGCGTTGCCAAGAAGCAGCAGCAAACCAAGAAAACGACCGCACCCGCCAACAATAATTGCCGCAACAAATCTAAACAACAACAGAGCGAGCTATGTTTATGTTAGAGTGGGGCCATTGGAAGTCGACTAGAGATACCCTGTAGACTGAGTCACGTAGTTTCAATCTCACTTGCATTTTACAAATTATTGTTTAATCATACAACTTAAGCAAGGGAAGTTTAATGTGAATGTGATCAACTAGAAGATACCCTATACAGAGTGCTATATTACAAGTAAACAGAGTTAAGTCTTTTCCATTTATATATCTATATATATTTTCTAATAATAAATAAAACAATTTGTAGTCGATAAAAGGCAAGCAGTTTATGGATGGTTATATTTAGAAAGAGTTTATTTTATATATATATTTTATAGAGGTATATTGAGAATTGCATATGGCCAGTCGAACAGAAGATACCTCTTTACGAGCACATTAAGGAGTAGATTATTCTCTAGTTATTTATCAGAGTAGTTCAGCATACCCGATCTGTCTAGCACTTTGTGTCGGCAACTGAAATCAACTTAATCCAAATACTAAAACGCATTAACATGTTATGGAATATTAGAAAGAATCCAGAATTTCGCAAAGAAACGCCCAAAGCGAACAAAAATAAACAAGTGCAGGGTGCGAGGGGGCCAAGTGGATACTCAACAATCGCCGCTGGGGCCAAAGGTGGAAACACGACCACGAATGTGGGCGCGCGGCCTCATTAAGTGGGGCGGGACGGGGCGGTGTTTCGGGGCGGGTATCATAAACTAATCAGCCGCAACATAAACAAATACTTTTATTTTATTTATTTGGTTTTTGCGCTGCTGGAAAATCATTGTGAGAAAATTGAAAATCGAAGTGTTTCCACTCTCTGTTTCCACTCTGAATGCGACCTTGTTGAATTCCAATTTCGAAATGCGTTGCGTGCTTCTCTCACCCGAAAGGCGCTCGGCTAATTTGGCTAATTGGTTCTGGCCAAAATAAAAATGTAGTCATTGATGCAAATCGGAAGCCGTAAAATAAACATATGTACATATACATATTCAAAATTTCTAATATTCGCAGCAATTGGGTTTTTTGTTTTTTAATTTTTTTTTTCCCCTTTCTTTTTTCGCTTTTTCTGTGCTTCTTCCTCTTTCTTTTTTGCAATATTTTCACACATCAACAGCTGCCAAGCGAGAGAAGAATTTTTCTCATTTTCTATTCTCCGCGCATTTTTATGCTACCATAAAAACAAAAACAGAAACGAAACGAAACGAAACCAAACCAAAAGAAGGCGCAACATTTTCGCTCAGAATTTTTATGGCATGCTGAGTGGGTGGAAGGAGGCGTGGAGTGGGCGGAGGGGAACACTCACTGTCTATTGGTAGGAGCCGAGTTGCCTTTACCAGCTGCCCGCTGAAGTGGTTCACAATTTACGAGCCGCGCCCCCCGCCCTCGACGGCTTCCATTCGGCAAGCCAACATTTTATTGAATTTTATTTCATTCGCCAAAAGTGAAGTGCCGAAAGTCTCCTTTGTTGTTGTTGTTGTCGTTTCAGTTGTTGTTGCTGTTGTTGTTGTTGTTGTTGCTGTAGCAGTAGCCGTTTTGCAATTTATTGCTTGCAGTTACGAAATTTATTTCTGTGTTTTTGCTGTAAATTTACAATTTTGTTTTGCGGGATTCTTCACTCGAGCCAGCAGGTAGTCAAGCCGTTCACTCATTCTTTCACTCTCCCTCTCGCTGTCGCTGTTGCTCTCTCTTTCTTTCTCTCTCTCTCACGCTGTCAACACCTTGCATGCAGCATAGAAGAAGCGTTTCTTTTGCTGCCTTCAACTCTCTTTCTAGCTCTCTTTACTCTCTCCCATTCGCCACCTATTTGAGTTCGCTTATGTTGGCTCTGCCTGTGTGCGTGTGACTGTGTGTGTGTGTGTGTGTAATTCGCTTTGACTTCAATTGTTCAGCAATTGTTTTTATAGCGCCAGCAAGCGGAGGAGATGCAGCGAAAGAGGAAATGCCAGAAGTAAAGTTATGTAAATTACATGCGTGTGTGCGAAAGAGAAGGAGGATGGATGGTCGGAAATAATAAAATTGATCTAGGACTTCGCACTCATATTTGCGGCTGGCTACAAACGGTTCGTTCTGTTCTTATCGTATAGAATCATCTCAACTATTTATTAGAGAACGTTAATTAGGAAATTGTGCATTCTCTAATAATTGCATTAATCACTTTCTTATCTCGTTTCATTACAATTCCAATAAAAATAATATAAATGTAGCCATGCATCTGGAAGTTTGTCAGATGGGAAAAGTAGTTGCTTGGATTTTGTGGAAGGGATAACGGCTTAGATTAAATTTGCCAGGCAACAAACGACGGAAAATCGTTGTGAAAAGCGGCAAAAGCAAAAGGACGGAGAGGCAGGACGCAGACCTGAAGGCGTACCTACTGCGAAACGCAGGCAAAGGACAACAGGCAGAAAGGACAAAGAGGACACAGCAGGCTGGGAGGACTGAGAGGGCTGCGACTCGCAATTGTAACCAAACTCCACTCGAAACCCTAACTCGAGAGTTTTTCGAGGTTTTTCCCTCTTCTAACAGACGCCGCAGCCGCAGGCGTCGCATTTGGAATTCTTAAACATGGAAATGGAAATGGAAAAGGGAAGGGGAATGGGAGTGGGAATTGAAATTGTGATTGGATGGAAACAGCGGAATGGAACGGCGACCTGCTGCATCGTTTGCTAGCTCTTTTTATTATTATGATTTTAATGCTGCTTTTGTCTATTATTAACAATCCGCTCAGCTGGAAAAATCGGAAAAGTCGTGTTCCCGGTCCAACCTCGAATATCGAATTCACTTTTCGGGCTCAACGTGGCTTTTCCCTAATTCGTTTAATTTATGCAAAATGTGTTGGCAGCGATAAGCGCCGTTAATTTTTCGGTTAAAGTTGTCACCAGTTTTTCGTCCTGGCACACTTTGCGCAAATGAAAATGAAAATGATAATGAAAATCAAAACCAAAATCTGCTCCGGCATTTTCATTTCTCGGCTGGCTGCCTTTCAAAGCTTCCCCTGGGCGCACGGCTTAACGGACTTAGCTTTGAGCTGGCTTAGTTCAAATAATTATTGAATTTCCATCGAGGCAGTGCAATGAACAATAAGTTTTCCACTAATGAGCCAAACAGTTTTCCCCGGAATTAGCTCCAACTGAATTGCTGGATCAGGAGCTAAGCCAACGACTTTCCTCTACCGATATTTAATTTCACTAATGCCTCAGCTAATGACACTTAATGCATGTCTTATACACTCCATAAACTTAACTGAATTCAGTTACTTAGAACTACGATATTATTTTGAATGCAAAGTATTAGAGATTTTAACATTTATAGTTCAACATTACATTTATTGTAGAAGGCCTATTCCAATGGGAACTTTAAAGGCGCAAAAGTTGTGTGAGAATATGAATGAATATAAACACCTTAAACTTTATCGAAAACTGTCAAATTTCAAAAGTTTTAAATCATTCATTAACATTTTTGACTTGAATGTACCTTAAAGTTTCTTTTGTTCATTTATGGTATTCAAGTAGAAAAGTTTTATTTCACTCCTTAACAAGTCTAAAACTCGAATAATATTACGGAATAAACATCTGTAAAATGTATTTTTTTATTTTAATATTTTTAAATCATTCATTAACAAATTGAAGGCCCCATAAGTGTTACATAGTTTCACATTCTTTAAAACAAGAATTCTTAAAAAAATCAATTTCAATTTTGACGTTGGAAAATCGTATATATTGATCAATCATATTTTCACTCAGTAAATCCATTTAAATATTAGATAAGTACCGAGAGGAACAAACCTAGCAGTAAGACTTATTTTACATGATTTATAATATTGCATATGTAATATTATATTATCAACATAATACAGATAAAGTTTAGAAGCATTTAAATTTGCAAATTTCCTTAAAAGACGTAAAATTCTTAAAATACTTTCAACTCTACATGAATTACATTGATAGTATAATATTACATATGTAATATTGATATCGATGTAACTCTTATCCACAACATTAAGAAATGCAATTCACAGCTGTACTCATAAAATAGAAGTGAACATCACATATATTTAATTTAACAGTAAATACATTTCTGATGTTATTCAAGAATATTTACATATGATTTGATATAATATTATTTATTTTCCTTGACATCTACCGAATCTTCGTGCTAGTCTCCTTATCGAAAACGAATTCTGACTCAACGCCTATATCTATAGCCCCAGCTATGTGTTAAGGCTGTTGCTGTTCGCTGCTTCAGGTGCAGGTAGAGTTACTCACCTTGTCTGCCGTGTGTGCGCTGCGCCGTCGAGTTGGCTGTGGTATCCGGTGGACGATGCGGCAAGTGCTGATACTCGTAGTCGTAGTGCGAGGACTGCTGAGCGGCTGCAGCGGCGGCGGCGGCGGCTGCGGCCGCGGCTTGTAAATTCTGTTGGTTTTGCTGCTGGTGCTGGAGCGTTTGGCTGTGCACACCGGAGGTGCCGCCAGGGCCAGCGGTGGGGGCGTGGCGTCCGGTCATGGGCAGGGTGCCGGGGCAGGGCCCGCCGCCCGTGTCGCGGCAGTCGAGCGTCGACTCAAACTCGTAGGGATTCATAGTGGTCGACTCCAAAGGACATTCGTCGTCGTCGGTGTCGGTGCCACCGTCGTAGAGGCTGTCCGTTTGCCGGTATGCGTGGAGCTGGCTCTGCTTTGAGAACTTAATTTTGGCGGCTTTTGGTGGGGCCCGGAAAGCCGACACTCACACAGACAGAGACAGAGATGAAATAGAGACGAGGCGAGAGGCGAGAAGAGGACCGGAAAGAGGTGCGAAAAGAGGGAGCAGAAGACAGTCAGCTCCTCTGCGGAGGAGCACTTGTCGTGGCGTGGTTCAATGGCAACTCCTCACTTCAGCACTTGAGCACTTCAGCACTTTTGCACTGCACTTGCGATTGGAACTGGAGCTGCAACTGGGCGAAGCGCCAACATTTTATTAGAATTTCTTGCTCTATTTCTTGGATTTGAATATTTTGGATTTCTTTGTTATGCTCTTGCTATTTGTCAGCACATTTTCGATGTCTGATACACTTTCGGCATTTGTCTTATGCCTGCTTCTTCTTCCTTCTTCTGGATAAACAATGCAACAACAATTTCACAATATTTCAAATTGAATTCGGTTTGCCAAATTTCTTGCTGCACGATTTCAATTGAGAGACACACGCGATGGACGCGACAACACAAAAATGACAGGACACAAGAACATACACAGGTGCGAGGCGAGGCAAGCGGTAAATTCTCCTTTTATTTTCGTGTGTAATTTCTTGTTTGCGTTTTGCTTCAACTTCAACTTGAACGTCGCGTTCGAGCTCGAGTTCGACGGTCGTTGGTTGTTTGTTGCGCGACGGCCGCGTTGCGTGCGGGTCGGCTTGGATGCGAAGTGAATTCAGCGAGCGACGTTTTCAAACTGACGTGCTCGCACGAAATTGTTCTGTATGCTGGCAAATACGCTAACGAATGAAAGAGAGGACGAGCGTGCGAGCACGAGTGCAAGAGAGCGAGCACGATTGCTGTTGTTGTTGTAGAAGCAGTCTTCGTTCAGTTTTTTTCAGCCGCTCAGAGAGTGTAGAGAGCGTAGGGAGAGCAGCACAGAGCGCGCAAGTGTCGTGGGAGGGCTCTGATGCTGCGTTCATTGTTGTTGCTTTACTCGTTTGACTAGTCTTCGTCGTCGCGCAGCGAACGCTCTGCGCATGACGACGCTGCCGACAGCGCGGCTAGCAGCGCTGCCGACGACCCCAATCTGCAAAGCGCTTAACGAAACGCTGCTGATTAGTTTTGAAGGTTAAAAAAGTGCGTTGAAGTTTTTCCTATTTGGCAAAGCTTGCAGCGCTCCAATGCAGGGGAAGTGTTTGCAGCAATGCGATTAGGGGTTGTTGCTGTCCTCGCTGCGCATCTAACAGTTTCGTTCAAATTTATCTGCTGTTAACGTTGCACCTAACAGTGACAGGACATAGCGCTAAGATAACACTGTTATTCGCTGTAATTATGTTATCCTTAACATTTCTTAGTTTCAAATATTTTCTGTTGCTTATGTGTTAGAAAATGATGACAGAATTTATGTTAATATTGAAAGTGACACCGAAACTCATATTTGTATTAATTTAAATATACTTCAAAACAAATTGACAGTCAGCTGATAGAAATAAATACGAAAAATATAAGAAAAATGCTTAACCCAAGTTAACCGCCTGATCAACTTCAGAGTGAATCAATTATAGAAAGGTATGAACTTATATCCAAGGCTTGGCAGTTCCTGTGAATTGCTTTAGGCTTATACAGACAGTCGTCATTGCCAAAACCAACGTAACCCAGCGACTGTATACATAGATAAGCGCATAAAGATGAAAATAGAAATGGAAATAATAAAACTAAAAACGAAACAAAAAATTCTTCAACTTCATTAACGCTGCAGCAAAGTTCTGGACCAGAATGCAGCGAAAAACTTTGCTTAGCTGCCGAAAAATGGACAACGCAGATTCACAAGAGTGAAGGAGTCAAAGACAATATGTGTGTGTGAGAGAGAGTGAGAGATAGAGAGAGAGAGAGAGAGATGGGTAAGGGGACAAAAGTTGGAAATGCTGACAGTGAAGTTGTCATTTAGCATCAAGGGCCGGGGCAGGCACAGTGTGTCCAAAACTCTGGCTAACGAAGCAACAGACAATGTGGAAAAAAAGAAATAGAAAATAGAAAATAAAGGCGAAAGAAGCAGAAAATTGCGTTATAAGCTAAGTAAAGGACATTCCGCTAATGGCTTTACTTTTGAGCAGGTTTTTGGTGGCCAATTCTCATCCGCAGCCACACGCTCGTGTAACGGAAGTTGTTGCTGAAGCTTTTTTGACAGCTTTGACGCTAGACCAAAAATGCGAAGAAGATGAAGACGACGATGAAGCAGAAGAAGAAGAAGCAGCCGTAGCACGTTCTTTTCACGGAATGTGGCAACACCGCATGACGCGCGATGAGCCTGAAAATGAAATTATTTGCATAGGATTTCGCAAGTGCTTCTTCTTCTCCTTCTTCTTCTGCGACCACTTTTTTATTTTCTTCAGACTGCTGCGCCGTATTCTTCTTCTTCTTCCTGCTCTGGCTCTTGCTCTAGCTCCCGCTCAGTCCTGTCGATGAAAAGTCAATTTCCTGTTGTGCACAAAATGTCATATATTTAGAGGACAACGACTACCAGAGGAGGAGCTTAAGACGCCAGCCACGCCAGCATCGAGCGCTTCACTTGCAGCTGACACATTGCAAATTTTGTATTCTTCCTTTTTTGCCATTAAAAAAAATATTTAAGAATGCGGCATAGAGGGAATTAAAAAGAGAACAGTCGACCACAGCGAGGAATGTAATGTTAACTGGAACTACATTCAATAAGAAAGAAGAAGAAGAAATAACAAGCAACATTATATTTAGTAAAAATTTATTAATAATTTCTGTTTTTATTTTAAACGATTTTTTACTCTTTAGAGTGATGAGAATCTATTAATTAATTTTCCCCAATCGATTGAAATATTTGAGCGATTTTTGTAGTTGTCTTGTTTTGTATTGGTTAAATTGTTTTCTGCTGACGGGCAGAGTGGATATATAAGGGGCCTATTAAACTATATTTATAATGCATATTACCAAAGAGTGAAATACACTTGTTAAATAAGAAATTTTTACTTAATAACTGTTGAAGTAGTTCAAGGCAGATCTCACTTGGTGGATTTACGGGTATGGATAAGTGCATTACTTGGCTTTAAACTTTTGGCTTAAAAAAGTTATAGACAAAAAGTAAAAAGATTTTATTTGTTGTTTATTTGTTAAATTATATTACTAAATTAAAACCATTCCATTAAAAGGGATCGAGGGGGGTTCCTCGTTACTCGAGCGATTGATTCCTATTAAATTTTTTTTTTTTCGTTACCCTTTTATCTTTGCCTTAAGGCCGAGATAGCAACGACGGCCTTCAAAAAGATTCCACGTCCCGGACTTGCCAAGTAGAGGCTGGTATAAATAAAACACTTATATATACATATATATAGGATGTGGGCTCACTCAACCCAAGTCACTACCTAAAACTAATATAAATAGTGAAATAGTATTTGAACATGGCTTATCATATTTATAGCCCACCCAGCAGCTCAAACTATGAACCAATTTTTACGTTATCGTTAATCTTATGTGAAAAATTTGATTGTTAATCAGAACTCAAAAATTGAACTAATCATTTTTAAAGATTTTGAGGATATATGTCATTTGGGAAAAATGTTCAGCCGATTCGTGGGATATAAATATGATAAGCACTGTATAATTTGATTTGCATAAAGTTTAAGTTATTGCATTTCACTTTTTAATTTTAATTCAAATATATTTAATTTTTTGTTTTAATTCACTTTTTTGTTTTAATTCAAACTATTTGTTAATTATATACATTTTTAATGGGACTTTATATAACTTTTTTGTTCATCTTATTTTTGTTACTTTATAGTCGTATGCATAATTTGCAGAGAATTTTTTTCAATATAATATTTTTTCAATATAATGTATATTACCTTTTTTTCAGTCCAGTCACGTTGTATCTGTTTTTTATTAATTTTTTTATTTTTATTTTTATTTTTTCTTAATACTGTTTCAGTTTCAGTATAAAAAGTTATTTTCGAAATTAACTTCCCGTTTAGTCAGAGCTCAAATTTCTATTGAAAAAAGACTTCCTCTTCTGCGTCCACCTTGATGCTGAGGGGCTGACACACAGACCTTGCACATTTGTTGCATTTCGCTTAATTTTGCAATTGCTCTATGCCGCTCTCTCTCTCTCTCTCTCTCTCTCTCTCTTTCAAGCATTTTGGTGTCCTGTTGAAGTACCAAATACAGGAGCATTGCACTTAAGGCTTCAGCCATGAAATTTGATCAGCTCGTCAAATCAGGAGAAGGAGAGAGAGAGAGAGAGAGAGAGAGGCAGATAGAGCAACAACTTTGCACCAACAACAAGTGTTCCGAGTAACAGTTGTTCTTGTTGACCCGAACTGTTCAGCGCCGAGGCGCCTCAGATCGGGGGCAGGAGGAGTCGCCGCAACAGCCAAACGTTGCGGTATTTCCTGCGTCAATTTCCACAAAATAAGCAACACAAACAACAATCAACAAACAACGAACAACACACAACGAACAACGTACAGCGAACAGCAAACACCAACAACAACAACATTGTTGGAAAATGGCTGAGAGGCAGTGTCATCCGGCGGAATGCAGGTCACTTTGGGCGCCTTTCCCGGAGGCCTCGCCTCTGGCGCAGCACTCGCAGTTGTTGCTGCCATATGTGGCACACACACACACACATGCATGCATATAGGTAGGTGTGTATGTGTGGACGTGTGCGTGTATCGATCAAAGAATACGCAAAAATTGTTCGCATGGCATTTAAAATGGAGAGAAAAAGTCCAACAGGACACGCACAAAAGGACAGAGCCGACGGAAGATGGCTAGAGCTGACAATGAGTGGCAGGCACTTTGTGCGACTGACCTCCTCCTGCCTGGGGGTGTGGCACCCCCCTTCGCGGAGCCCTGCGCTCAGTGAGAGAAATAAAATTACGCGAGATATTGAATTACGCTTTTTAAATTAAAAAATATTTTCGCGATTGCATTAAACGAAAGGCAAACTAATTAAAGGGGATTTCTCCATCCATCCATCCATCCATCCATACGTCCAGTCAGTCAGCCAGCCGGCCGGCGAGGCGTCCATTGTCGCCGAATGCAATTTGTGAGCTGCAAATGAAGTTGAACTCCAAGGACCAAAGTGGGCGCAGGACAACGCAGATGCAAAGTGCAGCGAGGATACAGATTTAAATGCATTCCAGGCCTGGGCCATTAACCTGCGTCTCTTTGATATTCTCTTCATCTCTCTCTCTCTCTCTCTCTCTCTCCATCTCTCTGTATAAGTATCTTTTTCTCTCTCTATATGTAATACACCTATATCTCTACCTCTATTATTTTCCATATGACCATAGTAATTAATTAGATACGGTAACCTTCCAGTTCCAATGGACCAAAAATGATTCGATTCGGTTAATGTTCTATTGAACTTCCGATCCAAAGCTACAGCTCGAGTACATGATTGAATGAGATGGACTTGAAGAACTATTTCAGTAGCTGAAATCGTGAATACATCGAGAGGCTTGGCTCATGAATCAGTTGAACTTATTTATCATGATAAAGGAAGTTTACTTTCTTCTTCTTTCTACTACTTTAACTTCTTATCACATTTCTCATTGATGATAGTGTCGGGATTAGAGAGTTGGAGAATTGAAATGAACTATTTTATTTGAATCGAATAAATAAATCAACAATTGATTCGCCTTCAATTGACGTTGAATCATTTATGAACTAGATTAAAATAAAGCAGTTCATCTCAATTCTCCTATATCTAGCACATTTTATATTTTTTTCCAATATTGT